CGGTCTCCGCTAGGAACGCCTACGAGCGTGGCTTCCCTTTTGTGTCCTACATACGAAGAAAAAAAAAACGGCTTGCAGATTATGACTCTAGGTGCCATGCAACCTCGAGCAATAATATTTTCCTGTCAGTGTTTTTACGAGGAATGCACATGTTCGACCAATTGTTTAAGTGTATAGTGAAGACTTCGGGTGATGATGCACGGCTAATGGCATAGCCGTATTGTTCTTAATTTGTGATGTACGCTGAGTCGTCGATAAATTGACCACTTCCGAGTTCCAAAACCCTCACTTTCAAAATGAGGCCAAGTGCACAACCTTTCTTGTGAGAATGAGTCTTATTTGCATGAGCATGAAAAATCGTTTCCATATCAAAGGCTGAGCACTTAACCTCGTTTTGATACAGAGGCCGGGGGGGACTCGGAAATGGCCTATTGATATTTCCATTCAGGATACTCTCTCTGTATTTTTGGCTCAGTTTGTTTGTTTAGGTTGCACAAAAAAAGAGCTTATCTTTTCTGTTTATAAATGCCCTCTCAGTTTATGAGAATCTTAACGGTACAGAAACTAGAACGTGTAAAAATTGAAGTCTGTCAACCAGGCTAATAAGCGTTGCAGTGGCGGATCCAGGGGAGGAGCCCGGGGGACCCGGGCCCCCCTTATTTTTAGATCAAACTGAGACCCGAAGGGCCGAAAAATATTTTTTTGGAGACCGCCCCACTAGCCTGAATTTCATCCGATTACTTCGAGTCGTTATTACTCCCTACCGCCCCCCTTATCTCAGGGTCTAGATGACCGGGCCCCCTTCCTTACCTGAAGGTCTCGATCGGCCACTGCGTTGTTAACCTCACGCAGGGGTTTATGAGAATCTTAACGGTACAGAAACTAGAAAGTGTACAAGCCTGTCAAGCGGGCTAATAAGCGTTGTTCACCGCACGCAGGGGTGCTGGACAATTCCCACAGTTCAACAGTTAAATTGACAAAGCTGTAAGCAAAGAAAATAATGACGCCATGTTATCATTTGCCAGACATTTCTTGTACCATTTATAACAGAGTACTCTCGTGTTATTTCAGTTGCAGTAATAGAAGCAACAAAATCCACACTGAGAAATGATACAACTATTAGTAAGATCATTTATATATCACTTGGTGTCACCTCCGCCATTTTGCTGTTGGCAATCGCTATTATTGTCTGGTGCTACAGAAGGACGAAGAAAAAGACTGTTCAAAGGTATGAGCCGTTTATTCAGATGTGTCAACCACATCGTACAGCGTGCTTCTATACTAGAAAGCTTAAGCAGACACGTTTTTGAGCGACGCACAAATAATCAACCGGAAGTCAGGCCTTCTCTCTTTTAACTATGCATTTGATCGCTTCCAATGTGAACTGCCAAGTGTCTTGTACTCTTATAAAGACGGCATGTCTACACTTTGGGGCAAAACCACTGTCCAAGACTGCAAAAAAGTTAACTCCTGGTTGGCGAGCTTCGCTCAAAAACGGTTTTTCTTAATAAATCCTGCTTTTATCATTTTTATCTTGTTCGTCTTCTCCAGATTGCCTTACCCACAACTCGAGATCAGGCGTCTTGACGAGTGGGAAATTCTGCCTGAGCAAATAGAGATCGAGGAAGAGCTAGGGAGAGGAGCGTTTGGTGTGGTTTATAAAGCAATCTTTAGAAAGAGAGTTGGGATGGAGGTGTTTGATGCCGAAATTACAAAGAGAACTTTACTATCCGACAAAAAGCCACCTCAAGTTGTTGCCGTCAAAGGTTTACATGGTAAGAAATATTGCTCATCAACAAAAGATAAAGACACGAAAGTAGTAAAGAGCACACCGAATTATCCTTTCGTGAGAAGGAGTAGCACCAATTTTTGCACTTGAAGTAACTACAAAACCTGTCCAACGGGTCAAAGCACCTAAATATAGCGAGTGACCCTATCTTAACGAGATCTTCCCTCAATTTATTCATGAGATAAAGACAAAAGGCTAATAATGACATCATGGTCGTTTATGCATCCCTGTGCTAAAAAGGATAATTCGGTGCGCCCTATACTACTCATTAATTCTTTTTTTGTGAATTATTTTCGCACCATTTGAATATAACAACCCCAGTTTTTTTAAAAAGTAAACGATTTTCTGCCCAACCGAATGACATCGCACTAAAAAGGAGAACAAAATATTCCGCTGAACCGGACTTCCGAAGGAATTGATTAACTAGTGCTTGCTTTAAAAAAAGACAACAAAATCAACAAACTTATATCATTTTTGTGCTTCGTACTCAATCCTTTCTCCAATTTTCTTCCGTTTATTACTTTCTTTGTTTCTTTTCAAAAGAAAAACAGGCAATAATCTTGACCCCCGAAGGCAGAACCAAAATGCGAATACGCATACAATTGTACGTAGGCACGTATCTGTAATGACACGATGGTCCGTAAACCAATCAAACCTTTGTCAACTTATTTACGAGATTTCATTATACGATCGACGAATATATATCTGTCTATTGTGAGTCAAAAGAAGAATGGGGTGTGAAAGAAATGAATGTAGCACATAATGCCGTCACATTAAAGAATGAAAATAATGTCTGTGTAATTGTTCTTAGATGATCCATCTGACGCGCAGAAAGAAGAGTTCACCTTCGAAATCGAGCAGATGAAGTTGTTGGGCTCGCACAAGAACATTGTATCTTTGGTTGGATGGTACACACTTAAGGATCAAAACTTCCTGGTTGTAGAATACGTTCCGTTTGGTGACCTTCTTACGTGGCTTCGCTGCAGAAGAAAAGAGGTAACAAACAAAACTTAAGAAAATTATACAATTTTAAAACTGAATTACACTGTGTCACAAACGTCCCTTGGCTTCTATTGAAAAACTCCTTCCTTCATCGAACTCCGCTCTAGGCTGTTCTTACTTCCCTCCCGTAGCTGTTCTTAATGTTGAGGTTTGTTTATAATGGAACGTGCACTTAGCTTATTTTGCTAGTTTTCAAGCACTCCACTCAAATAATTATATAACCCTCTCTCCCGTTTAGCCTGGGGCGTCTAGGTCAATGCCTGGCGTGTGGTGATTCTTTGTTTCTTTAGAGTATGGCCAATCCAACCCTACTTACCCCTTCGAATATGTTTTCCTTTGGTTTTCAAACTCCTTTCAGTCACATCTATTTTTTTACTTTCTCGGGCCAGCTGCTCGTAACTAAAATTAATTGTGCCACACAAAACAGCTGATAAACGTCTGGTCCCAGTTGGCCAAATGTTGAATAGCCGAATCCACCCGATAAATCACCCGACTTCCAGTGGATAAGTATTAGGGAAACCTATTATGATTCCACGAGATAGAAGAATTTATACCTAGATAGCGGTATCCTCCGTTTGAACAAATGAGGCCTGAATTTTTTGAAATGTCTTGTCATTCACCATGTATCTAATCCAGGGAAGTAATCGTCCGTAGAGAAGATGGAATTCACATTTGAATTAAAGATAGTTTTGTTCTTGTCTCTATTTCCTTTGGTGCCCAAAAGTTCTGGAGGGTAATAAAGCCTGCCATAACTTTGCCCACTAGCAGTGATATCTCGGCTCGTGCCTCCTCTAACAAACTGCCTGGATAGGCGAAGAAGTCAAGTTCCTCTGTGGGCTATCCACATAATGAGACTGGAGTGGTATTAGCCAAGTTCCCAGTCTTTTCGTTTTGTTTTAGATCTGTCACGTGTGGCTGTGACTCAAGTCACAAGCAAAGTCAAAGTCTTTGGGTTATGCTAGGAAATCTAGTTTGCTCAATCCTATTGTTCCTTCCGGCCCCATCCTTGTGGTTTTATGATCCAGTCGGACCGGGAAGAAACAACAGGGGTGAAAGGCGACATTCCTGTAGGACGCCAATCTTGAACTCAAAGCTCTCAAACGATTGACCAGCATGTGGCCGTCAGTGTAGAAATTAGCTAGGGAGGCCTTACAGGAGTGCTTTTTTTCCGTAAGGGCAAATTCTGTGGAATAATATTTCGGCAATTGGGCAAGCTTTTTCGGCCAAGGGGGCTTAATATTGGGTACCATCTCGGTCTGAAAAGAACTTTCCTAATATCCATAAAATAAAGAAGTCGTTCCCTTTTCCCAAAAGTGTACTACATCCCTTCCGTCTCATAACGACCACCTCTGTGACCAAGATGGCTTTTGCAGCTAGATGTGAGGAGATTCGACTGTATCCTTAGTACAGCGCAGGGGCGAGGGGCAATCTCTATTGTTTCATGTGTTTGTCTTTGACTGATTCATCACTACCAGCTTGACGTCACATAGTAACGGGCGAGAGGTTCGGGTCGCTAGTGCAAATTTGCAAGGGACTCTATGGTCATTCGAACAAGAGAGGTCGGGGATAAGATTTAAAACTAGGCAAATATTGCTGTACATGTTGCTTTTATCTGCTTGTGTAAACCGCCTTGGTATTTTGTGCCCGTCATTGTGTAATTTTGTTAATTTGTGTCGCGGACCGTGTTACGGAATCGCCATCTTCTTTACAGGACCAGCAAGGGCATAAAAAATTTATAAAGTTCATTTTTTCTCCAAAATAAGCAACGCCTAGTCTCCAGAATAGGAGGTTCAATTCAGAGGTCACACACGTTTATATTCCATATTCTTTCGCGAATTAAATCGGCTGTACTTCTGATCAAACTCTTCGAGAGTGTGGGCCTCTGTTTATTTCTAATTTCTCCACCAAATTCAGTACAGCTAGCTAGTTTGATCGATTTTCTACAACGACCGGTCTTTTGAACCCCAAATAATACGAAATGGCTTTGAAATACGTGCTTAACCTAATTTTTCCTCGAACGTATCTTTCAATTCATGATAAATACAGCTCTACCAGCTCCTAACAGCGTCTATGGCAGAGAAAAACGGTTTTTTAACAATTTACTTCACCAAACACTGCGTGGCACCGTGGTGCAGTGGTTAAGGAGTTGCTTGCAGTTACAGATGAACTAGGTTCTCCCGCTCCAATCGAAGCAGTTTTTTGTTTCTCAATTTGTACATTTTTTTTCTGTTAATAGTTTTTGTTTTAATCTTGTTTTTTCCTTTGGCTTGTTTCCCCTTACTGCTTACTCTTTACAACTTTGCGAGTTTTTTGCGATAACTGGTGGTGATCAGTGAACCTATGTTTACCTTAGAGATGGCCCCTCCCTCCTTGTTCAACTCAATATTTTCATGAGCTAATAGGTGAAATGTGCTTGAGTTCGTATAGAAGTAACTCAACGATTAGGTCATCTTTGGATTATCGTTTTGGTTGCTTAAATTTTACGTACATATTGCTATTAGGTCATTGTAAACGCGCATCTATTTTGACATCGTCTTTAATTTATTTGTATTCAAACTGATGTCGTTAATTGTTGGACATCAAGATCAACAAACATCGAGCCTCCGAGCGTTCATATGACAACAAAGAGGTTTTGAGCGATCAGGGGAAATGCAGATATCAAGTAAGTTCCTTAACTTTGCACATACCAGCTCTATCTGTTCTTAATAATAAATTATATCCTTTACTTTGGTCCAGACTGTTCGTTTGGGTGTTTGTTTATCTCGGGAGCGCGGGGGGAATTCGGAAATGTCCTTACAGGAAAGCTCCGTCCCAATACCAACTTAATAGCACTTTATTTAGTATACGTTTTTGGACAACTAATACAGTGTACCCTTTCTCTGTACCTCCTATTTGAAAATGGTACTCCTTTCACATACCTTCTTAAGAAAACTGGGTTCACTTACAATCTTTGCCGACACAATGTTCGACTTGCTCATTGGTTCCATCACACCCGCTTCCGCCGTACTGGGGAGAGGGTTCGATGCATGATCTGCTGCGTTTTTTGTAGCTCAAACCACATGTTTGGAATGAAGTTAATAATGGATGATACTGGAACCTAAATAAGAAAACCAAATAGAATTTTCCATATGGTGCACTAGTACGCAACATTTTAATAAAAGGCTCTTTTAAGTAAATACCTAAATGACAAATTTCCAAACATTTTCGTTTTGACTTCAACAAGTATAATCTCTACCGCCTTATTTTCCCGAAGCCTGAGACCTTTCGGGCGGAACCTCTGATCTACCTCAAGTTTCAATTTCTGATAATAGACAGATAACATGTTCTTTTTCTTTCCTTTCTCTCGCACAGGAAAAAAATTTTACTAAAGAACAGGTAAAGGAAGCAGAAAAGACACAAACGAACAGGGAAATAGTGTTAAAAGATAACAGCGAGGTGGATACTCAGGGTGTAGCGTCGATTTCTCGTAATCTCCTTGTTGTAAGACAGTAGCGCATAATTTGTTTTAAAATGAAGTATATTTTTATTCGATGATGGGAGAATGGATGCATAACGAGAATAGCTACTCTCCATACGTACTTTTTCGTTAACTGTTTTCTTCTTCCTGCACACTTTTCAGTTGCTAATTGCCGTTTATTTACGAACAAGCTAGGTGGCCTGAACATGTACAGGTCAGTTTACAGCTGGTTTTACGCCATACAAGACTCCATTCAACTTACTCTGTCTCACTTTTTTATCAAAATATTTAGGATGAGAAATTCAAAGTAACTGACAAAGAATTTCTATCCAGCCCATCAGCATCACCAGGAACAGCAAGTCAAGCTTTTAATTCTGCAATGTCACTTTCAATCGAAAACCTAAAGGAGTCAGACGAGGTTCTCTGTGACGAAGAGAGCTTTTCTACCGAACAACTGTTTTCACTTGCATTGCAGATAGCTAAAGGAATGGTAAATACTATTATTTTCTGGATAACGTTGCAATGATCCTTGATTTGACAAAACGATGGGCAAAATAGAGAATGTATACTTTTAGCAATGATTTTTAAAAACTACATATGATTTCGGCGTTCTTTCGATCAAACGTTCTTTTTATAGAGCTAGCCTGAATGGAAACGGATTTTCTTACAGTGTGTCGACCACAGTTTTGACTCATTCGCGGCTTTTCTATTACTTTTCCAAACCTGAATGTTTGTCCTAGATGCACACATGATATTGTATGTTTCATTTACTCCATAATTCTTTGGCTTCAGCAGTACCTCCGTCATAGGTTATTAAGGGCTCGATCCTACCTTCAGCTATTTAATGCTAGCAGTGTGTCATTATTCTCATGATTGATATACAATTTTGCCATATATTTCTTCAATTTTTAATAGAATCATCTCGCGGAAAACAGGTTTGTTCACAGAGACCTTGCTGCCCGTAATGTCCTCGTTGGCCATGGAAACCAGGTCAAAGTGGCAGACTTTGGGTTGATGAGACAGATATATGAAGATGTGTACAGCTCAGGGAAGTCCAAAAAACTTCCTGTGAAGTGGATGGCCCCAGAATCACTTTATCAAGGCCTTTACACTACCAAAAGTGATGTGTAAGAAAACAATTACCTCATCTGGGCAACGGAACCATTTTTTGAAATGTTTAATTACCAGAAATTCGGCTCAGGAGAAAATTCGCAAATAGAAGTAACAAACTCGCTAGATGTCATGCAACAATTCCAGTGACAAACAATTTCAGGTTTATACCTTATAGCACGAAATATAACCGTGACGTTAACCCCAGAGAAGACAAAATCAAACCGTATGAATGGTTTATCTTATCTTATTGTCTTGAAAACAGACCTCTGGAGCCAGGGCACTTTAAGGAATGGACGTGAAGAAATTAATTTTTTTAACATTTCTTTTTTTTTTTAGTAATACTTGATTCATGTAATCAAAATTTCTTTAGGGGTTTAAATCAAAATTTGCGACCAGCATTTCCGCCCCTTTCATGCGGGAGTCCCCCCTAGCCTTAAACATAGACTATGCAAAGTTGAAGGAAAATTGACTTTCATCCGAGAGGTTACTGTATCTAAATAATCAGAGGGCGACAAGCAAAACGGTTAACAAAATTTAAACGACAGCACTTGCTCGTGGATTTCGACCTGACATTGACGTGAGGTTCCTGTTCACCACTGTAGCATGCCGTTACTGGGCTGAGGCCTGGTTACTCAAGTCTCTTCCTTATGTTTGTTCTAAAACTGAGGGGAGATGTTCTAACAGCCAAATGAACTTACGCTGTTCAAATTATAGGGGCACCCAACGACGGTTTCCTCCTAAATGCATTGAAAACACTTTTTAGGCTATCCAGGGAGTTCTTAGATCCCCAGAAATGAATTTTAAGCGGCGCTATAAAATTTGTATCTGTTCGGTCATCCTAGGGGAACTTGAGTCTTTTCGAAATTACAAGGGCCTCAGTATCATTTTCTCCAAAATTTTAGATGCAATTTTAAGTTTTACAAAAGTGAGAATTTTTCTGATTCGTCTGTCCATCGCATTTTCGAATCCGAAAGTTTTACTTTTGCTTTTCCTAAGAAAACTGAATAGCCTATTAAACCTGGAGACTAAAATGCGAACAATTGAACTTAAGAAAATCGTAAGGAATTTACTAGGTATGCTTCGAAAATTGTACATGAATGGAACGGTCGTCTATTCTAGAAATTTTTAGCCTTCCTCAGGCTAAAGAAATTTCTAGGGAATCTTTGCTTCTCCGAACAGATATTTTACGAAAACGGTGTTTGGGTGACCCTGTTCAAAGCATCTCTTTCTGCAAATTTGTAAGAAAGGCGTGAGTTTGCGCAAAGTGAGCGGGAAGTCAACCGACTCATACTTCTGACTGTTTGACTGACTGTTTATTTATTATGGCAAATTTTATTGCCCTCTGTAAAATTTGCCATAATTAATAAACAGCCAGTCAAAGAGTCAGAAGTATGAGTCGGTTGACAATTGCATCAGGTCGTGCTTTCATCAAACAAATATGAGAGTTAATAGTAGATAATAGTGGGCTATGAAAAGACTAAACACAATGATTCTTTACATATTCATAGGTGGGCTTATGGTGTTCTTCTTTGGGAAATGTCTACCTTGGGTAAGTTTTTACGGCTTAAAACCAATATTATCTAGTTACCTGCTATGGTGAATTATAGCAGAAACCCATGAGTTTCTGATTATAGTTAATAAACGACGATACAATCTACAATTAAAAAAGCTTTCCAGAAAAAATGAAATGTATTCTTATAAATATGTGATTATCACTTTTTTACCAGGAGGTGTACCATACCCCACGCTGACCAACACGGAGTTATATCGACTGCTCGGCGCTGGTTATCGCATGGAAAGGCCTGACATGTGCTCTGATGACGTGTACGTTACTTTACTAAGATCGTTTTATAACAATTATTTATTAACAGATTTGATTTTTTTCCGTGCCTTTGTTTTGTTGCAAATTACATAGAACGTCACTCCAGACTAGAGAAATATCAAATTATTTGCCTATATTTTTTATTTTCATCCAGCTGAACAGCCACGTAAAGTGATCCGTGTTTCAGAATCCGGAAAATTTTTGCTAGTGGAATCTGAAATCCTGGGATTTGGAATCCAGAGTTTAGTTCTAAGAATCCAGAATCCCTCTAATGATTGGAATCCCGAGTCCAGGGTCCACTGGCAAGGAAGCCGACAGAGCGGAATCCAGAACCAAGGCTGTTTTTGATTCATGCACAAGGGGCGAATAACTACTCACATTATTAGCTGGAAATAAGATTTAGGCCTGCGCATTCCGAAACTATATACGTCAACGGCGCATGTCAGATAATTGGGTGGATGAGGCGTGATTCAATTTTATAAGCGTTAGGGTCAGGTTACTCTGTTATAAAAACACGGGCTAACGAGGGATTGAAACTGTAATTGACCGCCATTGATTAACCTCGTTTCTTATTCATAACAGATATGAGCTGATGACTGACTGTTGGAAGGAGGAACCTTGCTCTCGTCCCAGTTTCTTTCAGCTGATCGAAAAACTGGAGGTGATAATGCAGAGGGATGCACCATACTTGGATCTAGACAAACACAATGAAGATCATCCATATTACAACGTGCCTCCTGAAGCAAGTGGTGACGAAGAAGGCAATATGGAAAAGGAGGAACCCCAAGACGCAACAAGCATAGATAGTTATTTATAAAATGCATGATTATTGAGAAAGGAAATCAAGAAAAAACAAAAGTAACTGATGCAAATACTGAAACAATTAGGCGCTTCCCTAACAAGGAATGTCTATCATTCATCCCGAGCATGGCTCACAGCGTGTCAGAGTTTCAGACTATCTAATTAAGAGATTTATCGTTTGCGAAAAAAAAAATTAAGTAGAAGAGAGAAAAATAATCCAAAAAGCGGAACGGAGTAGGTTTTTCAGTAAAGACGGATAAGATCAAGGCTTTGGTTGTCCAAAACAGCGATCACTTATATATGGTCTGATGGTCTCTCCTTCACCGAGTTTACGCGGCGGAGTAACGATATCCCGGTTAGTTGGGTGATCTGCTACCAATCGACAAAAAATGACCCGGTTAGGTGGGTCGCCCTTCTCCGAGCCAAAGTTTTGTTTCTAATGAACGGTTCGCCAAGTTTCTTTAGGAATTGTAGGAACGCTGGCTTACCCAGTGTAGCTCAGATAAGGGTGTGACAAGTCTACCCTCGACAATTTTTTTTGTTTTCTGCATATACTCTTGGTTAAGAATCCTTTTGTTCCCAAATATTGATCGATTAGGGCTAGGCATTCGTTCAACTCTTATGTAACTTTTTTCTCTTTATCACTTTATTAATGTCATCTGTAGTTAATGTTGCTGAATTTGTAGAGAAATAATAAAATTAACCTCATGTAAATTTATATGCGTTCTGTCGACATCTGTGACATCTTCATTCAAGGGTTTTCAGACTTCTATTTTTTGGTTCCAATGGAACGACGACAATGTGTTTTTAAGAGACAGGTGAAAGTAAACAAAGTAGGTCCATTAAAAGCGGGGGTAGTTTACCTTTAAGGAGTCAATTGTTTTGAACAAGCTACAGCGGTTGTTTTGCTGTTAAAATCCTTTATTAATTTGTTGCATAAATAAAGAGGCTTTGAACGAGCTTATTAGCCTGCTTGGAGGCGCAGATACAACTAACTAGATATGCAATTTCCGAAGAAATATTTATTTTTTCTCTGTTCATGACAACGGGTAAACTACACGAAATAGCTACGACTTATTGTGTCCTTTTACTATGCCCTTAACTGGAGTAACGCTTTCCGTTCTCGTTTTCGTCTCATTTGAGAGAGATTTGATAAAGAATGTGATTCTAACTCATTCATTAGTATGAATAATTTCGGTAGTTTATTCTTCGGCCAGCGAGTAGTTTTATTTACAGGTAGTCTCTAACCCTTTTTGATTTTCAAACCGAATGCTCTTTATTCTGAAAGCCTTTATTCTAAAAGCCTTTCTTTTCTCTTTATTTGAATCTCTATAAGATGGACACCTGAGTAAAATGGACGCTTAGAGAAAGTCTCTGCCTTCCATTACCCCCATTATTTGACTCTCTATAACCACTTCAGTAAAAAGGACACCTTTCCTTCCCTAACAACTACCCCTTTCGACGCTTCGCAGGCTATTATTACATGTCTAGTGCAACCATCGGGAGCCTGAACGTAACGATAAATGGAGATTTTAATTATTGCATGATTCACTGTTTTCTAAACAACGTATCCATGTGTTACCCCATAACGTTTTACTTTTATTTTATGTGAAAAAAAAAATTAACATGCCGAGAAATGTGAATTTTTTATGGTGCTCCAAACAAGTAACAGATCCATATATTTTTTTGGCGATCGATTATTTACTTGTTACCATCTGTCAATTCACTACGTTCTGAGCAATCAATCAACTTTGGAGCTAGTTATGAAAGCGGAATATTTAAAGGGAAATAAAATTCAAGCAGTAATTGATTATATTAATGGAACGCGATCGAAGATCGGAAGAACTGTACAGAAAAAAAAAGCCTTATTCACTTAAATTACAAATCATCACGAGGAGCGTGAAAAGAAACCAAAAGGTATAACTAAAAAGTAGGAAAACAACTTTATGGCTCCGTGGGTTTGTAAAACTATATTGATAGCTAAAAGCTAGACTGTTCATAGTCCTCTATTTTTCCGAAGGTCATCGAGATCGAGCGCTTTGTGTTACGTCCTGCCTTCTTGCATGAGTGTCAAAACTACTTAGGAGGCGGGGGCGGTTTGGGAGGAAGCGGGAAAAATAGAGGGACTGTAATAACATCACTGCAGCTCGCGTTCAGGAGGCGTAACAGGAATTTCACGCCATTTACCATTCATTAAAGAAACTCCGCCGGTGATGAAAAACATGCCAGACACATTTAGCATCGATTACGCGTGTTTACAAATATCTCCTTGCGAAACAGTGATTTTATAATGTTTCTGGGCCATTCCTCGAAATAAAATCGGCAAACATGCACAAGAAAACATTTTCCTAATCAAAATACCAAAAATCCTTCGTTTGTTTGCGCAAGATGTGCCTTATGGTACTGAAAGCGTGCGTTTTATGGAAACGAAGACTTGTCAACGACTTGTCAATGTCGGCAACTTAGATTAAACCCGATGTCAACGCAAATTAACTTCTATTGTCTAATGAGCAATCAAACGCCTGCGTTGCTGGTACAACGCGCTCCGTGAACGTGAGCTGCACTGATGTCATTACAGTTCCTTTATTTTTGTGAACAGTCTAGCTAAAAGCCTAAACACTAGAGAAGTACCAATAGAACTTGGCGATCTTTTTATAGAATTACGGAAAAAGAGTAATTGAAAACAAACAATACCATTTGAGGAAACCTATTTCAATTTAGAGACAACACAGATGTTACATTACAACTTCCTAAAACATTTTCTCAATTATGCTAACACACGTACGAATTGTCAGGAATAGGATATTTGAAACAAAATGTGGGCAAAAGCGAAATGTAAAATCAATCCCCCTGGTTAAAATTTTGACTCGTATAGACCGTTACTACAGTTGTAACTTATCCACTTGCGAAATTGTTGAGTAAGAGATTCAAAAAAGGTGGCGAATATTAAATTCGAAACCTTTACTATAGATAGAACAGTGGTAGAAGGAATGCCTGATGACTTTCTGACCAAATTCAGACTAGAAAACAACTCTAACTGCGCATTCTGTGGCGATGAAAAAGAAGGGCTTGTCCACCTTTTCTAGTTCTGCCCTAAGATCTCCTTTTCTAGAGTTTATTAATATTATTAAAATTGCAGAACTTGAGAGAAAGACATGCTTAGGTAAACAACATGGTGGCAAAAGTATCACGTACGCACTCAGAGCCTCCGCATGTACGCATTTAGCAAAACGTACGCATAAAACTTTATTTTACCTGTAAGTACTGGCATCAATTTATAATGGCGTGGATCGTGGAAAACAACGGACGACAGTTGTGGTTTGAGTGGTGATAAACAGTCAGTAAAGCCATTGTGCGACGTCTTACCTCGACGAATATTTTAGTTCGCATATACTGATGACGAAACGTCCCTGCAGCCCCGATGTTGCTTAATCACAAAAAATAAATAAATAAAAATTCGAGGAACACGTAGTTTTAAGATTCGAACTTGAGAGCACTTGTCGATGTAAACTTTTATGTCAATGTCCAAAACCAACTTCCATGTTTGAAAACCTCACGCCAAATTTTAGCTTATTTGTTACAAAGGCTATTTGTGAAAGGATTAAGCTCCTACTGCGGGCTTGATAACTAAGTTAGTGTTTATTTTTCTTTAAAGTACCTCAGTCGCCATCAGAATACGAACTAAACACCTTTGTTTGCACTTTTTGTCAATGAATGACATAAAAAAGGCAAACAGTGTGCGCTGTCGTTTTTCGCAGATTCGAAGATGGATGCTACGAAGACAATGATCACCGTTCTATTTATAATGTTCCCAATGCTGATAAAAGTACAGCAGGCTCTAAATCATCAACTTGTAGACAAAAGGAATTAAAACTGAAATGCTTTCCAAGCTTTCACAACTGAATTCAAATATCGCACTAACCTTGGGTTATCTTAACCCAGCTTTGAACTACTCGGCCCTGGTTTCTATGAAGCCCATTTGATCGCGTTGCGTGCACATTTGGACCGAAATTGTTGGACCTTTGCTTGTCATCATAAAAAATGATGAACAGGAAAGATGTTAAGCACTGGTATAATGAATTTTGTATAATATTAACATTTATCTTTTTGTTTTCAATAATTTATCAAAGGAGTGTTCTTTTCTAAAAAAATGTTATTGTAAAGTCGTCGTAAAAGGAATTTCAGGATAATTGTAGTTGTAATGTTGAAGGGTTTTAAGAAGATCGGCGGCGATCTAGTCTTCTAATTTTATTTATATATATTATAGAGATCATAGTTACAGGTGAAATACTTACTAGGATCAGTGTATGGAAATTTTAATGGCCTAAAATTCTTGCCACAATTTCCCTGAAAAAAGCTTTAAAATTCTTTTAGAAATGCCTAAAATTCTCAAAAAAAAATTCTCTAAAATTCCCAAAATTTCTCAAAAAAATTTCGTTTTTATAGCAAGGGCACCTTCTGGTGAATAACCGCTGGTTAGTTATAGTATACATGGCTGATGATAAACCGCTCGGTTGGCTTTGCTCAATGGATAGTGCTCTAGACACTGCTGTAGCATGCGAGCGGAATGAGCCCTCTCTTGGTTAGTAGGAGTACAAAAAATCCTTTTGTCCACGTTTTTGTCAGTGCAATGTAGCCGAAATTTCGGCTGAATGTTCAAAGTGCTCTATTTTTTTCTAAAATTCCTGAGATTTTCAAAAACTCTTTTTGATGCCTAAGATCTCCCCCCCAAAATCCGGAATTATGTAGCTAAGCCTAAAGCTACCAGATCTTGAAATTTCTATTTTTACCTTGGGCAGAATGTTAAAATTTCAAGAATTGACTTGCAGAATCAGAGTTTTCAATCTTTGGCTCGCCTGCGAATACAGCCGTCTCCCCTCTCTCCCCTCTCTCCTTGCCGCTAAAGCCGTTTCGAGGGAGAGACGTCTGCGCTTCAACGACGTACGGAAATTCCATACTGATGACGTTGAATCAGTCCAGAATCTGTTCAGGAGCTCTGATTGCTCAACTTAGTAA